TAAATAGTTTTGGTTTCTTTGTCATCTAAGGCTCTACCCTACAATATTCACCTCTGTCAGTTGAAATGACCTTGTCTTGTCCACTGAGCCTGCCATTCTAGAGCTGCACAAAACCAAATACCTGTGATTTTAATTTTACCCGCTCGCTCGGTGCTGAGCACATATAAGAGTGCCCTTCCCACCCTTCAGTCGCCCAAGGGAGATTTAGCACTCCCTTCCTATTCTAACCACCACGTGCAAGCCTGTGTACCACCCACCGATGCTCTAGAATGGCCTTGCCGGATGTTTGAGTCGGGCTGTCATCTTGCTGTACCTCTGTGCAAGGTGTGACAGAGAAACAGGGGTAGCTGAAACCCTAGGTTCCTGAGAAACTGGCCCTAGGCCTAAAAGCGATGAAGGAGGAGCTCGGGAGAGCGACACAGCACAGGGGGAGAAGTGAGCTTTGTCTGGACGGCAAAATGAATGCTGTCAGCCATAGAAAATGGAATAAGCCTAAGGACTTGGGAGTGCAATTCTTTTTTGAAAGACTGGTTTGTGAGAGAGAATGCTACCAACAATTTAAAGAGGAAAATCGTCTGAAGCTTTGAGCCAGATGGTTTTGCAATTGAGATTTTTTTTTTTTAACTTGCAAATGGCTGCCTGATCTTTTCTGTCAAATTTATTATTTGACAAGCAATTTACTTTTCTTAAAGTAAAATCAGTTCCTTGGGCACCAAGTTCTATCTTTCAGCTAAGATGTAAAATTAGAGTGCTCTCTCCTCAATGTTAAGCCAGATGATATTAAAACTAAAAAGGCATTTTAATTCTGAGGCTTTTTCTTCCCCACACCTGTGTATCAGTCTTTAGCAGAAGTGGAACCCCCACCTCGTTATTCTGGATAAGTAAACAAAGTTAAACCTCCCTGGCTTTTTCCTGTTTTTCTTGAGAATGTCTGTTCCTGTTCTTCGTCGTTTAACTATAAACAGAGCTAAAATATTCCACTGGTTACTAAGAATAAATTTGTTTTCAGATAGAGGGATGTGACCATTGTAGAGGACGATGCATAAAGTTATTAACAACCTTGCAAACTTCCTCTGCAGAATACACAAAGGTTTACAAAGCACGGGCACAGAATTTATCACTGGAAACACGTGCTCCTTTTTATTTCTTATAGCAAAAATCTAGGCACAATGCAGACATTAATAAAAGAATATCTGAATACACTAAGATCTGGACTTTATGGGACTTGAGAGAATCTCTGCTATTATCAGTTAAAATTTCTATGGGGGAGTGATCATAGCAGAATTTTTTATTTTTACTTCAAAAAGAAAACAACTCAGCGTGTGTGACATGCGCAGACGCATACACAGAGGGGAAATGCGGTTTGGAAAAATGCGGTAACTGTTTTCACTGGTTATCTGTCTAATGTGTTTTCTCTTAAAAATGTGACGACATTTATCCATGAGCAGTGTGCTTGTGACAGCTGAAGGGCAACTGTGGGAGTCAGCTCTCTCCAGTTAGCATGGGGCACTGGGGACTGAAATCAGGGTCTCAGGTTTGGTGACAGGCACATCGATTGCCTGAACCATCTAGTGAACCTCTGACTCTTAACGTACCTCTGGATTGCTTGGCTTATTTAAAAAGAACATGCGTGACTTTCAAAATAGAAGTTCAATAGCACATAAAATCAAGGTTACACAGCAGAAGCCAAACTTAAAAATGGAAGCTATGAAATCAATCCCCCACATACTTACGTATCAGCTGTTAATTTCTTTTAGCTCTTCTCTTAAACTGGTTGTTTATAGGAATTGCTTGTCACTTTTGTGGCTGGAGAGCTGCACATCACATGACAATGTTGTAACAATGAAATGCTGGACTCCATTTTTCACTATCTCCATTTTTAACTCCCCATTTCTTTATGCAGACTAGAGACTACGTGATGGAAGTAAACGTTCTAGTACTGCTCAAAGGAGCTAAAGGAAAAAAAACACAAGCGTGGAAGTTGTTTTGGGTAAAATATTTCCAGGGTTTCATATTTCAGCAGCTCCAAAGGGATCTCCGTGGATCAGCCTCAGGAGAAACTGGAAACCACCAGGAATTTTACCTAACTAGTGTAACAATAGAGTTGCCATGTACCAAAGGCAGGCGAGCACCACACTCATTTACTACAGTGCATCTAATAACACAAGGTGTGTGCATGTGTGTATTCATGAGTGTGTGTACACACACTCGTGCCTCAGTAAAAGCTGCGTTGTGTCGTGTTGGTCAGCAGTCAAGCTCATCAGGGAAAATAATGTGATCATTTCTACCCAGGGAGGAAACACGGGAAAAGGAGATTAAATAGGGCTAGGAATGACCAACTGGCTGTTTCCTAAAGGAGCTTCCGCTTTCCTGCCCTGATATCGTCAGAGTTTTTTGTACGTCTGTTTTGCTTTTGTTTTGTTTACTTGTCTTAGTACAGGTCTTGGTGTTTAAATGGATTTAAAAAGCTTAACACAAGAATTGAATTTATGTTTGGTCAGTTAACGTTTGTACTTTGGGGCTACTTTGACTTTAAAAAAAAAAAAAAAAAAAGAATCATCATCATGAGATCCAGGACTCAGAATATTACCTAAGAGCCTAAAAGCCAGCAGCCAAGCTCTAGATGGTCACAGGGGTATCTCATCTTTTAGAGTGAAATTCATTTTTATTTTCTTTCTTTCTCTTTCTTCCTTCCTTTCCCTTCCTTCCTTCCTTCCTTCCTTCCTTCCTTCCTTCCTTCCTTCCTTCCTATGTAGACCAGACTGACCTCAAACTCAGAGATCTCCCTGCCTCTGCTTCCAGAGTGCTGGGATTAAAGGCCACTGCGCCTAGCTAAACTTCAAGTTTTACTGCAGGGGTTCTCAATCTTCCTAATACTGCAACCCTTCAAGGCAGTTCCTCGGGTTGTGACAACCTTAAATTATGCTACTTCATAACTGCAATTTTGCTACTGTTTTGAGTCATAATGAAAATATCTATATACAAGATATCTTATTGGAGACCTCCAGAGTAGTCATGACCCATAGGTTGAGAACTGCTATCCTAATGGGTAAATCCTTCACTCTATACAGGAGACGCTTACAAAGCAGCCTTAAGGGACTCATCCTGACTTGTTCTTTATCGCCTGTATGAGTCTAGGCGACTCTAAGTTGTTCTGGTTCTGCTCTTAACCCAATTGTAGAAAGAAGTCCTCACAAGCCTCGCCCTTCTTATTCTGCTATACTCACAGAGTTCGAGCCATTTGAACGTGAAGGTGACTTCAAGCCCAAGGTGTCTCCAGATTACAGATCATTGAAGTGAAACAGCTGTAAACAGATTGGTCACTCAAATATTTACATGGAGAACTGGCTTCTATCCCCGATAGAAATAAGGAAAGTGCTATGAGATTTCGTTTTCCTCCAAGGCTGAGCAAAGATGTGTCTGAGTAAATTTTTTTTTTAATTTGTGTTTATTATTGTATATGTGAGTGCACGCACGTGCCACAGCTCATGGCTGATCGGAGGATAGATAAGTCTGGAGAGTCGATTTTCTCTTTCTCTGGTGGATTCCAGAGACTGATCACAAGTGGCTGATTGCACCTGCTGAGTCATCTCACACACGTTAGGTTTTGTTTTTTAGATAGGGTTTGTCTGTGTAGCCCTGACTGTCCTGGAGCTGCTCTGTAGACCAGGCTGGTCTCAAACCACCAGCCTCTGCCTCCCAGTGCTGGGATTAAAGATGTGCACCACCACTTGGTTAGTAAGTATTTTTAATGCTAACTCCATGTTGATTTATTTTACTGTCTCTAATTTACATTTTGAGGAATAAGATAAGCCACAACCCTGACTAACTGGTCTAAGAAAAAAAGGTAAGGAAAGGATTGTTGATAATAGCGACTATTTTGTGAGCACATAATGTGCCAGAAATTGTGACTAAACCTTTTGAAGACTATCTTGATTTAAAAAAAAAAAAATGTCTCCACAGATATAAGGCTTGTACTAAGAGCTCATGGCTTTGGGAGTGAGGGAACTGGGGCTGAAAAACTGAGAGCAGGGTCTTACTAACCCCCCCACCCCCTCACCACCCGCACCCCCCACCCCTGTCTAGTTGCAGAGAAATCCTTTGTTACTAACAGGCATAGACCCTACATACCCCAGTCAGCAACTGCAGTCCTTGGGGAAACCTTGGAGGGGGTATTAACAGTATTTCCTTTCCGCTTTAAAAGTGAGCTAAGCAAGTTACCTGGTCACTCCCTTTCTCAAGGTTCCCCACTCTGGGCTAGAGATCTCGTTTCTTGTGGGGGCCTCTCCTGTGTATTGTAGGGTGCTGAGCAGTGTCCTTAGTTTCTGCCCACTAAAAGCCGCTGCAGCCTCACCTCCAAGTACCAAAGACAAAGATGACTCCTGATATAAACTGATATCCTCCGGAGGTAAAACTCCTCCGTACTGAGAAATACCACCTCTAAAGCTTGTCAAAATTTAACTTCAAAAGAATAACATCATCTACCTGTTATGGAACATACCTGCATGGGCAGAACCTGCCCAGGAGGGTACCCTACAGCCAACAAAAGTTCATTTGTGGGGCAGGGCATGTGTGTGTGTGTGTGTGTGTGTGTGTGTGTGTGTGTGTGTGTGAGAGAGAGAGAGAGAGAGACAGAGAGAGAGAGAGAGACAGAGAGACAGAGAGACAGAGAGACAGAGAGACAGAGAGACAGAGACAGAGACAGAGCCTGTGAGCCTCATTACTTGGCTTCCTAATCAGAGTGAGATACAAAGCTAAACAAGCAAATGAGATGCTGGGATAGGGGCCTCTAGTGATAAAAACTGATTTGCTGAAGTTCTCATCAGATTAACATAGTAAAGTGGGCTGTGAGTGGTTTTCGATTCCATCCTTGTTTGCCCCAGTGATAAACATAAAAACCAGGGTGACAGCCAGATGCTCCTCCGCACTAACAGCTAAGGATCAGCTGTGTCCCACTTTCTCCTCCTCTTATACTTAGAAATGACCACCATTGCTCTCACACCACCATGTCCATTTATTAGCAATAACAGAAGAAATACCAATAGCACCAATTAAAAATGAATCCACATGACGTGTTTTATCCTTACAGCTGTAATAACTAGTAACTAACACGAATTGGAAAGCACTTCATAAATTTAAAAGTGCTGTACATATACATTATAGTTATCATCATTATTAAATTAGCCCGATTCTCCTAGTTCAAAAGGCACGTAAGGTCAGTTACATGGGCTTCAGTGGGGCAAAATGATCACAACCTACAATGTAGCAATGGTTCACACGTGTTGTCCACAAGTTTTACCCCATGCAATCCTGCAGAGCTGAAGTTACACACCCTTCAAAATATGGGAGAATGAAGCTAAAAGGAGACAAGACAGTTTTTTTTTTTTTAGATTTTATACCTTTTAAAACAGACTCCTACTTTTTTATAGTAACTTTAAATAGATAAATATAATTAAACTTCTAAGTTGTGCACAACAAACTTAAAAATGTCTTCTTTATGGTAACAGTAAATTTTATTACTTTCTATGAGCTGATATTCCGGATAGCATTTCAAAGCAATCTGCAAATTCAAAGAGGTCAGATTGGTACAATTTTGTGCTTGCATACCCTCAGGTACTTTCTTCGGCATTTATTCCAGAATTGTTACTAGAAAAAAAAAAAGCTTTATCCATTCTCTTGCCAGCAGAAATCTTGGCAAGAGACAGCCCTTGGCTGACCATAAATAAAATTCCTTGAATCACCAGCATATTGATTTAAGAAAGAAATTTTACTGTGTCTTTCATACAGAAAAAGCTGATTAACAATGGTTTAAAAAAAACACTATTTCACTGTTCCACAGGTGTACAAAAGGAAATATAATGGGCTTACATTCAACAATAAAGCTTAAAGTTCACTCTAGGTAATAGTTGCATTAACATTCACATACACAAGCACAGAGTAAGTATATCTCAGGAGTCTTATAATAGCATACAGCATACATATGGGAGATCGATTCAGGTAACATCATAGGTGTTAGTAAGATTAGCAATTCAGAGTGTTATAGAAAAGGAAAACTAAACAAGGCGAAGGTGTAGGCTAGCACACCGAGACAATCACAGGATCAGAGGAATGAAAAGTCTGCTCACTGTATGAGAAAAACGATATTTTTCTTCAGTTTCTGGGCCTTGAGATAGTGGGTTAGAGAAGGTTGTGTAATCAAAGTGCACATCATTTTTCTTAGAAAAGAGAGAGAGAGAAAGATCCTTTTATTTAGGAATTACTACATGCAAGAGGCAGCCCCAGAGTGACCTGAAAGAGTAAAGCTGTGATTGGCAGGTGGCCGGTATAATACAGATGTTCCAGGCAATTCTCTTAAAGCACTTCTGTAGCAGCAATGATCATTTTCAATGGCTGTAGACTGGATTCTCTTTTGAGGGGAGTTGTGGGAAATTGTATTCATCATACTTCTTTAAAGATTTATAGCTATAGACTTTCTCTTTTTTTAATAAATCTATGAATCAACAAACAGCATAAAGTGAGGTGTTGGGGTTCTTCTTTTGCTTTTGCATATGTGTTGTTGGAAAAGGATGTGTCCTTTTCATAAACATTGTGTGCAAAAGAATTGTTAATAGCGTGAGCACAAGGACGTGTACAGGAAACACATCAGATCTGCTTCTGTTGCCCTGGCTGGCCCTCCGTTCAACACTTGAGCTGCTGGCTTGTGTGCATAAGCAAAGCAGGTTTGGAGTACAGAGATACGACAGCCAACAGACTTGAGGGGCTCCCAAAGCTTTGTCAGTGGGGTGGTTTTTTCAGCTAGAAGATGCCCACCACACCTTGTGTTGAGAAACTGAGAAAGTCTGGTCCCTTTTAACTTCACATTTCCCCCTCCAGACCGAAGACTCCCGCTGCTTCTGTATCTTTGTTTCCCAGCCCTTCTTGTGTTAACGAGTCTAATCTGGACCACCCCAGCCAGTATCAGGCTCTTGAACACTCAAGGTAGCTACACACACACCCAGTGACCACAAACACCCAGGCTGCTCAACCTGAATACCTTTCAGCCTGCCCTGCAAATGCCATCAAGATGCCTGAAGCACAGGGCAGAGAGTCCAACTCTCACTGGCGGGGCTGGGAAGCCTCTCCTTTGCGGCGCAGGAGAAAGGAAACTTGGGTCTGCTTTTTAGGTTCTGAAAACAAGCCAGAGCGGGGAGAGAGAGAGAGAGAGTTAACACCAGACTTGGGGAAGCTTTTAAGACAAAACCTGTTCAATGCGATCAAGACAGACACAGGGAACTTTCTGCAGATTTCTGAGGTCTCTAAGAGGGCTCATGTCATAGGAGAAAGGAGCAGGGAATTGCTACGTGGGAGAGATTTGCCATCATTACAAAAACTGGCTAAGTGGCTTGTTTCCGTTTGGTGGCCTCACTGGCCACTGTTGTCGGTGCTGTCCCCTTTCTCTTTTTTCTCCTGCTTTTTACCCTTCTTCTTTTTCTTCTTCTTCTTGGTCTCCTCCTTTTTGCCGAAGGTTATAAAGTCGCTTTTGTCAATGTGGTTGTTAGCAGGCTCCTGCCGGATGGAGATGATTGCAGGAGATCCTGGGATAATGAATTTGTCTGGCAACTCACCGGGACCGGACTGTTTTGGGTTGCCTGGTCCGTATTTAAAGGTCCAGCTGTTGCTGTTGACACCAGCACCCACTGGAGGGGACACCTCTCCTGCCTCGGGTTCTGAAAGACAAAACATCACAAGTCAAAAACAGCGAATGGATGCCTTCCCTTAGGACACACACAGGTGAGACAAACTGCTCTCAAGTCTGAGGGGGAAGCCGGTGTCTGGAAACAATCAGCAGGGCAGATCTTTTTACCACAAAGCCCACACATCTAGTTCTCTAAATGGCATGGTTTTGACTCGTTGTGAAGAATCTCCTAAATAAGACAGCTGTGGTAGCTTTCCTGGGAACAAGGCAGGAACTGTACAGGCTTAGAGCAGAAAAGCTACTTTCAGCGTATGGATTATTGTCATTCATTTTTACTCTTTTTTTGTTTGCTTTGTTTTTAGGACAGGGTTTCTCTGTGGAACCCTGGCTGTCCTAGAACTAACTCCGTAGACCAGGCTGTCCTCTGACTCACAGAGAACCACCTGCCTCTGCTTCCTGAGTGCTGGGATCAGAGGCTTGCGCCACCACCGCCCAGTTTATTTTCACCCTTAATTCATGTCAAACTACAGATGAACTCTTTGAACTAATTATCCTTCTTAATTCTATGGATAGAAGGGAGATGAGATGGGAAGCAGTGGGGTACAGAGATCGTCACTCCATAATAGAAGAGGATAGACTCCCGCTGCATGTTGAATCGATTTGTATGGATAAAGCATTCCAAGTCGATTGCATTTCCAAACTAAGCCTCCTTCTCCAGAGTGGTCACAGTCTGTTTATACAAAGGTATATGCAAAGTATTGTAGAACTACCAAGGATAAAATTATCCATTTTAGTGGAGGTTATATGGGGCTCTAGAGGTGAGGTGACGTTTGCTGTATCCACAGGGCTCCTCTGCAAAACTTCTCCAAGAGTCACTCAAGTTGGAAGATACTCCATAAGATGCCATAGCAACTTTAGAGGGGAAGCCATAGCTGGAGAATGAGAGCGATGGTCTACCTGAAAAAGTGACCCCAGGAGCCATGACACTGGAACCTTTTGACGGCACAAGAGGGTTTATGCATCCGGCTGTGCTTTTTGGTAGACTGATAGAAAGTTCAGCCAGACAGCTTGCTTGTGTTCACTTGCACCCAAGGCTTTCTTTCCCACTCACATCTGGTATTTCCATGCCTTGCTTCCTACAGTTGCTTAGGTGTCCCTGAGTACTGCCATTCTGCGCGATGCCTGCACCAAGTTCTCTAACCTTAAAGGAAGCAGCTTGACAGTGTAGGCATTTCATATACACACAGAAATACCACGGGAATGGACAGTTCCTAAAGAGGTGGCTTTCAATGGGATTGCATAGGATTCCATGAAGAGCAGCGAATTTTCAGACAAGTGATAAGACAAAGGAATGAACTTTTTAGTCCCCAAGGACAGCAGCTTAAATGGCAGTTGGCAACTGGTTGGTACAGGTTTGCTCTAGCTTGGATTGTTGCCTCCACAGACAGGTTTATGGGGTGCAGAAACTTTTCAGATACTGTAGACTCAAGTCCAGGCCTAGTGCAAAGTTAGCTGTCGTCTATAATTTGTTCTCCCTAGTGTGTGTGTGTGTGTGAATGAACATCTTTTGTTTGCTTTTGCTAATCTATGTTTCACTTTTAGAAAAGCAAAAGAGGAGTCAGAGATTTTTTTTTCTCTTGCCTTCTATATTTTGCAGAGGTATCGCCAGGCCAAGGCAGTCGGTGTTCTCCTGCCCTTTCTTTTTGCCTTTGCCCAGCTTCCTTTATGCCGTCCTCCTCACCCATGTGTGTGATGGATTTGGCCTGTGACTCTCTTTATTATCCCCACATACTCCTTTCAGGGTCTCAGCCCTGTTTGAGGGCATAAATGACCATCTAAATGTGATAATAAAGTTGAACATGGTGGCACATGCTGATAATGCCAGCACTCAGGAGGCTGGAGCAGAAGGCTGGAGAAGTTCAAAGACAGCCTGGACTACATAACAAGTTCAAGGACAGCCTTGAACCATCTCAAAAATAAAATATAAACATATAAGTAAATAAACTAATGAGATACTGATTTGTATGCAAGGTTCCTATCCCTCTGTGCTATAATCTCCTATATTCAAATGCCTCTCTGATGCCTCTAATAGCAAATTTCACAGAAGCGACAAACTGAGGAAGTCTGAAATCAAACTTTGGATTCCTTCCTTCCAGTTCTGTCTAAATCTTTCCAGTCCCAGTTCATGAGAGCTCTCATTGACCATGTTGTTCAAGTCAGGAAGTACAGCACTATCCTTTGTTTTCCTTTATTGTCTACTCTCTGTTTACAACACTGGCAAGACTATTTCTGCCTCTTACGTGTATCTGACTCTGTGTTCTCCCCATGTTCATTCTTTTCAGAACATCAGACTCTCTCACACAAACCAGAGCGATCGCTTCTCCCATTGCTTCACTGCTTCCTCTTGGCCTCTCTCTGGTTGCCCACACAGTAGCTGAGTTATCCTTATTCTTTAAAGTCCTCCAGTTTTAAAAATGGAAGTAAAATTATTTAAAATAGAAATCAGATGAGATCATTCTCCCACTTAAAATTATCCAAAATCTTTCTATCATCTTGAGAGGAAAAAGAGAAATTCTTTTACTATTGTATATAAGAACCATGTATAGCCTCTAATGTGATGTTCTTATTCTCCATCCTCTATAAATCTTCCCCACACCACTCTATTCCAGACTCACAGATGTACTCTCAGTTCTTAAAAAAATCCCTGGGGTTGTTTTGCCTCAAGCTCTTGAGAACTTTAGGTAGATTCTGAAGGTGTAAGATTTGCAGTAAGCCTTGAGAAAATAAGGGTTTTTCAGTGCAAAACTTCTCCAAGATTCTAGCCGGAAGGCACACCATAACGTGTAATGGTTACTTTAGAAATGAAGCCAGAGCATCTCTAATGATCTCCCTTCCATTCTTTTCTTATAAATTATTTTTTTATGTATATGGGTATTTTGCCTCCATGGACATCTGTATATCATGTGTGTGCATGGTGCCTGAGGAGGCCAAAAGAGGTCGTTGGATCCATTGGAACTAGAATTACAGATGACTATGAATGAGCTGCCATGTGGATGCTGGGAATCCAGTCTTCTAGAACACTGGTCCTCAGGAAAGGCAGTTGCTCTTCTTAACTATCTCCATATCTCTAGCCCCTCCCTCCATTCTTATTGTGTCCCCATTCTTCTAGTCTGTATTTAAATGTTATCTCTTCAGAGAAGTGGCACCCAACATGGGGCCTGAATTTCCACATAGGGCCTAAGAAAGCTGAAAATAAAACAAAAGCAAATACGGCTCCTAAAGAGGCACTGCTGTGCAGCTAAGCACTTTGAGCAGCTGGTAAGCTAAGTTGAAACAGAAAGCTAAGTAAAAACACCTGCCATAGTGCAGGCACCAACTTCCTAGAGCTGGGGAGGTCAAATGCAACTCTCAGTTAAACACAGCTCTCAGCCAGTCAGTGCTGTGTACTTAAGGCTTGGCTCTCAAGGACTTATAGTCATAGTAGGTATGTTTTGAAGGCTAAAGAGACATATTTTAGATAAATAGGCGATTTTCAAATGCATCAGAGACCTATATAATATGGCATTTAAGATGTTTAATAACCTAAGATTTTTCATGACAGTGAGACACATCTGCTCCTGGAAGCACCAATTTGCTTCATAAAAGGATGATGGGCACCAAAGAAACTCCATATGGAGATCACTTCCAATGTGGCAAAGCTAGTCATTTGGACAAGAAACTGTCCTTGCCTCAACTGCTGACAGTATACTGTACAAACTGGACACGCAGGACACAAAATAGACTGCTCAACTTTGCCAGGTAAAGTGGGACAGTCCTTCAAAAGACCTGTTTCACAGAAAAGTCTGTCAGGAAGTATAGGCATATAGCCTGAAGATGGATGCTCCAGTGTTGCAAAGGAACCTTGGGTGGCTGTTCAGGCAGTCAGCTGCTTCTGTCGTTTCTATAGTTTTGGAAGTTGTTTGCTCTGCACTTCCTGTTTACTCAGGTAATAGTATATCCTTCTTGGGTCTCTGATGGAGTTGAAGATGAGATAGTTACAGTTTTCCTTTTTACCAAATTCAGAAAAGAAACTTATATAAGAGATGTAAAGTTTATAAGGTTGGAAAACATGAAAGCTTAAATTGTTTAATCTAAGAAAATGTTTTGAGGTCTAAAAAGATATATTTGGGTTGGTAATACAAGTTAGGATAGAAAGCAAATTAGGTGCACAACTTTGGACTAACCAAGATAGGATAGATAATGGAGTATTTTCTCTGAATTTGCCAAATGCAAATAGACTGGATATTGTAAAAGTAATTCTTACTTGATAATTCTTCTTTCTGTATATATGTTAAAGCTAAAGCCTTTCTTTTTATTTTGACAAAGGGGGGGGGTAATGTTGTTGAATATCTGTTAAACTGTGCAAAGATGTGTTGCATTTGTTTATGATGTAGAGTATTGGTTTATGTAAAGATGTGTTGCATTTGTTTAACTATATAAAGATATATTGCTGTTTTACCTTACGTGCCTAAGGCACCTGGATTGATAAAAATAAAAAGCTGAACAGTCAATAGCAAGGGAGGACAGATATGCAAGACTTCTGGGCAGGAACAGTAAGTAGAAGAAGGAATTTAGTCTCAGGAAGAAAGAAAAAATGATGGCAGGGAGACACCAAGGGCCAGTCAGCCAGACAGGGAAGAAGCAGCAAAGAAGGACACACAGAATAAAACAAAGGTAAACAGGCCTAAGGCAAAACATAGATGAATAGAAACAGGTTAAATTAAGTTAAAAGAGCTAATGAGACAAGCCTAACCTAAGGCCAAGCATTCATAATTACTAACAAGTCTCTGTGGCTTTATTTGGGAGCTCAAGAAAATTCCAACTACAAAGAAGTATTCTATAATCATTCTGGCCAAGCACCTAGTAGGTAGTGTCTTCTTCACCTAGTTGAATCTAATTCTGCAAGATTTTCAAAGGCAAGGTATATAGGCAAAGATACATTCACCAGTATAACCAATGCCTAGTATAATTCCCAGCCCACTCATGTATATA